ACAAATGAATATATATATATATGTATGCGTAAAAGCGGCGTTCGGTTCACATTTGAGCTCTAAAGAAAAATGGTTACTTCGGTTTGACAAGGTCGAATATAGGATACATTTTAGCATGCTCAAATCCCGCATGATATACCGTTTGCTCAAAGTTCACTTTCATATATTTGAAAAAGTCTCTTCTATTGCCAATGGCATACACAACGGCCAAACGCGCATTGCGCGGCGATTTCATGAAATATACAATTCACCTTTTCAATTCTTTCTCATGTATGTGCGTCTTTTTCACTAATGGAATGATATTTCTTCCTACGAATAGTTTCCGGTATTTTAATAATGCAACACATTTACCAATAACATTGTTAATGTGGACGGGATCTGTTTTTTATGTGTGCATCGATTAAACCGGTATTTCTGTGCAGTCATTCAAGGCGTTTATGCTCAGAAATACGGCGAGAATCAAGAATTAATAATTCAATGTGTGTGTTTTTTTCCTATCGTGTAATCTACACACCATAAGCTGGAAATAGTCTGAAGTAGTCGCACATTTGCCACGGGTCGCAAGATGCTTATTCTTTTTTTCTCACTTCAGTTATCTTCGCTTCAATGGGGTCCTGTAATGCTGAACGAATTTTGCATTGTTCCAAAGCTTTTCTTAAAAATATAAGATCGATTATTATAAAAAACTAATAATTCAATTATGATCCGCAGAGCAAAGAGAGAAGCTGCTGATTCCAGTGTTTGATTTCAATTATCTGAAGATTCGACTCTTTCTTCACATTCATCATGCGTTATTGTTTTTTATGCATCTGATTCACTGCATTACCGTACATTAGATGCATTCGATTTCCCCGGAGTTGTTTTTGCCGCTTCGATTTGCCGTGTACTGTGGCTCTTCATCATATGCGAGAATTGCAAGCAAACAAAAGAGGGAATTTTAATAGAACGATATAAAGAAATATATATAAAAAAAAAAAAAAAATGCATCGTTTAACATTTTAAATATATATCTTTCAATTCATTTGTTGCAATGGCAACGAAAAAAAAGAGAACTCAATGCAATTTTCAGTGCTACCCAAGAAAAAAGAAATACATACATGTATACATGTTCATAGGAACGGGAAAAAAGTCGTCGAACAAAAGAGAGCCACACATATTTTCACAATATTTTTTTTTTATAAGAAAAATGTCGGCATGCACAAACTCGACATGAGAGAACAACGACGACGACGGATTCGACGATGAAGACGGCTGACACGGTCTCTCCTTTGAATCGAAGAACCCGAGAACACAGTGTGTGAGCACAAAAGAAGAATACAGACGACTTGAAAACACATTCGAGAACGAGCATACATTTAAAAGTTTTGTGTGTTTTTTTCTTCTTCTTTTTCATTCTACAGCAATTCAATTCTTCTAATTGCTATACTAGTACGAGAGCACAGATTGAACTTTCAATTATTTGTTCCCGTTCTTTACATTTCTATTCATCGTCGTCTTCATCAATTTTTGTTTTTATTATTTCTTATCGCATCAATTCAGTAAACGCGTCTGCTAACCATTTATTCTCACTCACAAAATAATTTTCTTACAATATCGACACTTCATTTTCTTCAACAACTTCAGATTTATAATAATAATCGTTTGAGCACTCAACACATTTAGCGAGTGCATCAGCGTATTATTCCCACAATGCAAAAGTCAGTCATTTGGTTCAATCGATTTGGGACCGTTTGGTACCAAAAACCCATGAAACCCATTTTCATTTTCCGTAATTTCAGTGAATTGTCGTGTCTGTATGTATATTCAAATGATTCAAAACAATTACTTTTGAGCAATTTTTTCCGCTTTTTTCCCTCGGCTCACTTTTTCCCATTCCCCAATGTTCAATTTATTTGTATCATTTCCATAAAGTGAATATGATTTCAGTTCTGAATAGAAGAGAGAGCATTGAAAAACCAAAGAGCATGTGGAGTTAAGCAACTTTAACTCTTTACATTTTTCTTCTTTTTATTCATTTCTCTCTCTCTCTCTATCTCTTTCTCCATAAAATTTGATATATTTTATGTTGGTACATACATAAATCTTGTAGTAACATTCCAATGCCGGGTGTCGGTTCTCCTATTTTTGGATGTAATGAAAAGAAATGCTGTGATAATGCTAACAATTCAAGCTTTTAAAATTTAAATTGAGGCACATGAATGTGGAAAAACACCGATCAACCGAACACAACCAAATGCAGACTCTAGCATAAAATCACACGGAAAGACATATTTCGAATGCATAATAGAGAGAGCACAGATATTGTGTGCACATTCAACACTGTTTCATCTTATGTCTTTCTCTATCTCTCTATATCTTGTCTTGTTCGCATCTCTTCTGTGTGCATCGTGTTTTGGAATACGATGGATTCGTTTGCCGTTTTGTGTGCGGCTTTTTAGTGTTTGAATTTATATAGTCTGCATGAAAACGTAAGGACTCCTCAGTCTGTTTTTATTGTGTACAAACATGTGTGCGCATTCAAGTTTTCCTTTTGCTTCTTCTTCTTCTTCTTCTTCTTCTTTTTTCGCTATGCTTGTTGTATTGTGCAACTCTTCTCCCTGTTTAGCATTTAATTTGTATCTTCCTTCATGATGCGGTAATAGCAATGGCATTGTGCTTGTTTGCACATCTCTCTATCTCCGGTATGTTCTCGGTGGCCGCATTGATTGTAACTGTATTTATGCACACATATAATATGTGCAATGTCTGGTTTCGTTCTTTACGTTTGCCCGTGCTTCCCGTCCATTGTGAGCACTCCAATATATGCAATTTGATGGAAAAATCTAAATGCGAACACTTTGTAGCTCGTAAAATGCAAAACGAATGAGAGAAAGCAGAAGAAAAAAAAATGAAATGACAGTGGCAGTGAGATTGCCAAACAAGAAACGAATTTGAATATTTCGTCCCGGAATTAATGTGTTTTTTTCTCTCGCTTCAAATTCTTTTCTTGTTCAACAAATGTAATCGATCCATTTCAAGCTAACCGAATCCGCATTTTGTGTTAATTGATCGATGTCTGGCAGATATTTTTGCCGGTAATTTTTTTTTTTTTCGTTCATTCGCCCAAAGACGAATGGGTGTCGTTTCATGAACCACTGCACACCTTCGCCATATGAATCGAACATCCGGCTACAAATGAATCGGAAAAATGTTTATAGCAGATTGCAAACGTCAATGTTTCGAGTGTTTTATGTTATTTTCCTGACGCTGTTCCCATTTTTTTTCCTGCCTCTTCTTCTTTTTCGATTTGCTGTGCAGGACTATTTGCCGTGGCATACCGTTTCCGGCGTATTGCTAGCAAAATCCTAAAAATAAAATGCGCCTTGCTCTTGCTCTTTTCCCATTTCACATTACCTCATCGCATTCCACACTTCGGGGGATATAATTTTGAGTTAAAAGTTTCAAAAGCCAACTGGTTGGCACACGTCGACTATACTCAACCATCGGATAAACATTTTCCGATTTCAAATTGATTTATAATTACTTTACAAGTTTGGTTTTACTAATATCGATCGGCATGAGATTGTGCGACTACTGAAATGGTAATGTGCGCTATTGCCAATTTCAATTCAAAGTAAAAACAACTACAGTGGCACACAGTAAAACTAACAACGGCCACCCAATGGCAGTAACAACAAAAAATGGCACGCAGCAAATGTGCATTCTTATAGAATGCCTTTTTTTGTCCTTTAATAGCTTAGCAGCGACGTGATTGAATTTATAATCGCATTTAAAATCAACTCAAATATCCCATGAAAATACTTTCAAATTGTTTGCTATTTATGGACTGTCTATTTTATTTATCACTGTTATCGTACTTGTTTTTTTTTCGGTGCGTTTCGTACAGAAGCGTAAATGTGTCAATTCATTTTGTCCGTTTGAAATTAAAATGACTGCACTTTCAAACTGACACCGAAGAGGTGCAATCACTTGGTTAGATATTTAAAAACGATGTAAATTCAAATCTATTTTGAAATTTGAATGGAAATGACCATGAAATGTTTGGTCTGGCTAAACATGGATGACTCATAAACTCATTAAAATGAAATATAAAAACAAACAAACGTTTTATTTGCATTTAATTCAACATTCACCTCGAACAATAAAGTAGATTCAACGATGACAATAATAACAGAAATGAACGACAACAAAAAAGACACAACAACTTGACATAATCCGTTGAAAGGAAAACAATGCAAATTATAAAATTAAATCGACCAACATTTTTATAAACTAAAAGGCCTTTGTTCACCGCATATTTTCTTTATCTGAGCACAACAACAAAAAAAAACAGCGGAATGTATATATTAATAATTCTTTTTTTTATTCGTTCTCGGACTTTAGCCCAGGTCTCATCGATCGCATGTTTTTCCCATTGCAACCGATTGAATTGATTTTTTTTATCATTATAATTTTTCCCATATTTGTACTTTATTTTTTGCCGTCATTAACTGTTGGCTTAAGCGCTTAATGCAAATGTCAGACCTTTCGTTTCATCGATAGCAAACAATTGAAGTGTAATCGATGCCAATTGTTGTGGTGTGCATTTTCAGGCACAAGTTATAAATTTCTTTTCGCGCTTATTCATTTCTATGTCAATGCACTGATAAAGCTTGATAAGAATACAAGTGAACGCACGTAAAAAGCAGTTGATTTCATGTTTTTGCTACCGCACTCTTTCCCTCCCTCCATAAATTACAACTGATAAAGAACATCAAACAAACCGTTTTTTTTTTCTTTTTTCTCTTGTTTCATAATGCAATCACTCGAAGTCTATAAAAAACCGTAGATTACGTTTTCGAAAGTAAAATTCATAAGAATGTTTACTTTTCATTTGTATGTTGTGTGTTTAAGTGGGTTTTTTCTCTTTATATTTCTAATCTCCTTGTGACTTTCTTCAGAAAGAAGAAAGAAATAAATAAAATAAAATTAATTCTTAATTGAATCTTCTTGTTTTGCAGCTAGTTATGTCGTCAGCGTTTGAAACGCTTTTGGAAGCGGCTCGATTTATTGAGCTACAAGAACAACGTGAACGTTTAACGTCAACGTCTTCGACAGCATCATCGCTTTCTACGTCTCCGCACAGCAATAGCCGCTACCATTACCAATCAAACTATGCAAGCCATCAATCGTTGGTCACAACACCGCCAGCTTCACCACTTTCTGATATTCCACGAAGTCATATTGACTACATCAGTTCCAATGGTACAACTATCACCCGCAACGGTAAGTTTCTACGTCAAATATGAAGTTTCAATTTCAATTCGGTCCCGAATCACTCACCTCTTACGAACGGTGATGATTGAACCGATCCAACAAAACAAAATATCTACATTGTATTAAATGACAAAGTGCTTTGCTATGTGTGGTTCAATTGGCGCATTGGTATGATAAAAGTGCGTTTAACATCTTTTTTTTTATTATCACCCATCGTGTTGACACCTCAATGTCACATCGTCTGCATTTAGTTATCATCGAATTTTATACGAAACGGTTGCCGATAATATTTACGGTTCACGCTACCAAAATCGGCATCTTTCAACATAAACCAAAAAATCTATTGGCTAAATGCACACTCGTGCTCGTTGTTGTCAATACGCGTGGAATGGCTCTAACATTTTCATCTGACTTTTTTTTTAAATCGCAATATTGTCCTTTCATAAAATTGGGTTCATTTCTATATATATATCATTTTGTGTTAATCGAAATGTTCATTGAAAAGAGAGAAAATCCATCAAATTACGTTTGAAAATTTATTGATTTAGAAAATAATCGGTATCCATTCAAAGCATAATATATGTTTGCTTTTATATAAAAAAAAAACCACTGCATTTCATTGAGATATTGGACAAGTAATAATAAACATTGACGACACAAAAAATATTATATTTCATCATTGCTACAACGCGAAATCTAACGAATGAACAAATAAACGAATCAACCACAAAAAAAAGAAATAAAGGAAGAAAAATTGAATTGAAGCCCATTTGGAATCCAAAAAGGAGAGAAGAGAGAGAGAAAAAAAATCTCGAATTTCTTGTTTGTACGTGTTTTTCATGTGCACGATTCTTACTGTCGGTCGATTCCACACTCGAAAGCAGCAATTCAAAATTGAATAGCTGCAGTACACTCGGCGTAGGTATTTATTACATAAAAGCAGCACATTTTTAATGCAAAACAAGGAACAAAGACGCAAATCGAAGTAAAAAAAAAAAAACAAGTGTCTTCTATTTATAAACTCTTACAAGACAAGTATATATATAGTGTATGTATATATGCGCCGTATGACGCATACAAATACTCAGCCACTCTGCTTCGTCTCAAACAAGAGCATTGGATTTTTGTAGTTTATTCAATTCTTTTTCGTCTTTTTCCTCTTTGTGTGTGTTTACACAGGCAATCTTCTTAAATGCCCTTTAAACGAATGAACGAACGACCGAAAAAAATCTCTTGCACAAATACAACGTGCGCTATATTTTCCATCTCTCTTCCGTAACATTCGATTTTTTTCTGCTGTACTTGAAAATCTGAACAAGAGTCTGACACGCAACCATGTGTCTGGCTTATATGCATTTTCAGTGCAAGTGTATTAGTGAACGCATTGCTTGCGTCAAACCACCAACGCATCCATCATATATACATCGTTCTCTTTTTAATTTAACGGCAATAATCTGCGCGTCTTATCTCTGTCTGACGCATTGCAGACAAACGGCAATCGAACAAATACGCTCGTCCACATGATACAAACTCGACGATTCCATTCTGCGCATGTGTTGTAGAGCATGAGTCAAACGTTGTACATCTATTTGTCTCACTCTTGCCTCGTCGAACACATACAAACGCCAATACGCTGAAATGAATCATGCAGACAACCGGTCACGTAAACAATACCACCATGCTGTGTATGCATTTTAACGAGCAACTAACGTGATGGTAGGTGTCTGTGTTGCTATAAGAATCACTTCGCTACATTCGGCCATACCATGTGACCAACGAGAAAATTCACTCAAACCAATAGATCTCTGATGCGATCTCACTCGTTTCGATTTACGTTTCACATTCAAAACGAAAAATATACATCGTACTGTGCAATGCATGTATTTGTAAGGTTCATTCTATTACGGTCTATATCTCCTTCTCATTCACTTTCCACATTTATCGATGTATTGGACCATAGCGTGCTGTAATGTATTTGGTATTGGTGCGTATTATATACAATTTGTGTTTTGTGTTTTCGTTGCTCACATGCTTACATCACGGTTGCGTTGTTGCCTCTCTTTTGTACTCACTCGAATTGTATATAAGCATAGCGCACCGATGAACACAACGTTACGCACATGTAAAATCTTACGAGTACATATGTATATATATACATCTTTTTTTAGCCACGTGTTGGCTTGCGCAGTTGCCACATTTTAATGCGATTGCCGATGAGCATGTAGTCAACGATGTCATGCGATTCATTGTATTGTAAACGTAGATTTTTTTTCATCGAATGCGATCACCTCAGTGTAGTTGGTTTCATTTATTTATTCTGCACTTCGATACACTTACACAATTGCATACGCAAACATGGATACGGTGCCATTGTATGTCCATACACATTCTCTCATCGTTTTGCGTCTTTGGTGCACATTTTTGCCACTCTATATTTTTCTCGTTCGCTTCACTTTATGCTCATGCTTATCATGTCAATGAACTAAGAGTTCACTGTAAAATCAAAATTTTGCTCAAATCAGCATACAACTTTATAAACGTTGCATCGACTATCATGTGAATGGCAATTGAAATAAATTACTTACTGTGTGCATGTCCATACATAAAAAAAATTATATGTATATGACGTTTTACTTCATCATGTTGTCGATACGAAATTTTCGTGAAAATGGCAAAATCGACACAAAAACCGGAATCTTTCTGTAGAATAATATGGGACGAAAGAGTATCATACACATCTTTCATAAGAGCAATAGAAGAAGAGAAGTCGACAAAATGTATGTGAATGGTTTCAAATGAGTGCAAGTCCCTCAAGTGTATATGACTCTATTTGGTTGATTTTTTTTATGGATAACTGGCACTTTTCATGTGATTTTAAATCTCGGAAGAGATTTTTATCATAAAAACCAATCACGGAAGTAAACTGCTTTGCTCGGCTCAAGTGATAAATTGCATAGTTACTGTGGTAACAATCATTCATTTTGCTTCATCTTCGCCTTTTTCAATCAATGGGAGAAAAGACTCGCTTTATGACATTACCATTTTTATGGAATGAATCTATTTATTTATTTTCTTCAATGTGAAATTGTGTTTAAGACTTCTTATACTGATTTTTAGATCAAAATTACTTTGTGCAAAATATTGACTTTTCACATTTCCTTTGGTTTGGCTTGTTAGCTGAAACCATATACTTTTCATTCCATTGTTGAATTTAGCTGCAATTGAAATCCGTGAAAATAATCATTGTTAAAATAAATTTCTTTGAAGACTTTCTATAGAATACAGTTTTGTTTCATTTCTTTTTTCAACTAGACGTACTGAATCCTTTTCATTGTATTTAATGACATCCCACACATGAGGGCTGTTTGAATCAATTGAAGAAAAGAGAAATAATCTTTCATTCTGTAATAATTGAAAAAAAAAAAAAAAAAAAAAAACGAAAACTGAATTAACTCCAGCAAATATAATATTTGTCTCATGTATAGATTTAAAGGTTACCATATAAACTCGATATGAACGATGACAATAATGATGTTGAAAGAGGCGTTGTTCAATTAAAATTTGTGCAGCATCCAATTCAATTACTTGCCAGACCAAATCATTAAGAAATTCGAGAAATTATTGGCGTCGCAAAAATTAATTAGGATGAAAATTGATAGAGACTTGATTCGGAGAATTGTTGCACCTACTCTTTGCCTGGGTCAGCATTATTACTCACACATCACGTGATCACGTGTGATGACGTTTTTAATTGTAATCAACCATTTAATTTTGGCATTTTCAAAATCAGCATTATCGCCAAATTGCAATATTTCTGAAATAATGCAACTTCAGTCGATTCAAACTACCAAATGTACAGTGCTGTTAACAATGATTGATCCAAAAGCATGATTTCAAATCGGCCATTATTGTTTCAGTGCGGTCAAGAGTTTACAAATATCAAAAAGAAAAAAGAAGTCACAAATCACGTGCACGTTGTCGTCTCATTTTAATTACCAGTGATTTCTAAGCATTTTCATTAAATTGCGTTTTGCCAATTTCGGAATAATCAGCAATTTATTTCCTTTCGTGTGTCGGACAAAATGCGAAACACATGCAATATTATTGTTAATAAGAAAAAGAATTTCACGCTGTCCAAACAAATATGGCCATAAAATTGCTTAGCAGCAGTAGAGTCTCGGAGGTCATTAATTTATAGGTAATTTAATCGAATCGCAATCGAAGCCACCGTTGATGATTAAAAAACAAATGCACAAAAGGTTCATTCAATATTCAGATATTTTATAATAATACAGATTTCCAAAAAATCATTCAACGTCGAGAATCTCCAATTAAGGAACCATCAAAAGAAAGGACTTTGCTGTGTGCATTGAGCTTTTCAACAACCAAATTAGACAATTCGAAGAATTGAATGTCTAGTAACTGTGATACTATTGATCCAATCCAATAATCCAAACTGTGATACCAAGTATACCTAAGTGTATGTGACAGATAGCAATACAAAGACGTGGATAATAATGAAACACAGTCATAAAAACAAACACACCTTCATTCAATCACGTTTCACGGCTGAGATGTAAAATGTACAACACACAAACAAACGAAGTCAGAGAGGAATATGAAAATGAAAATAACATATCGAATAAGCTTAACTGATAAGCACACGGCGAGTTAATTGTAATTCAGTCTGTTTGTGTCGTTATACAGGTAAACACGCCAATTTGTGTTAACTCTTTCGCGATCATCGTTTTTCGTATTTTTTTTTCATCATAAAATCCTTTTATTGTGATATTTTAAAAATTCGAATACGAATATTTTCGATTCTATAAAGAAAACAAAACTTAAAAACATTTAAGAATTTATTTATTCATTATTATTGACATTTTATTAAAAGGATAAAGAAAGTAAACATTGATTTACGTTCTCATTACGTACAAGAGTCGATATGCACAAACACTAAATAAAACAAAGTAATTGTAAATAATTTTTAATATAAATAAACGTGAATAAGAATAAATAAAAATAATAATAGCAGCAACAATGATGCATAAAGGAAACGAATGGTATTGGAATTTGAATTTGCACCGAAATCAATCGGTGCTGAATAATTCGATGGCTGTGAATAGTAAAAAGTTACCAATTTCATCGACTTTGTATACAAGTGCGGTGTTGACCGATAGTGGAATTTGTGTTGGAATGCGCAATGTAAATTTAAAAGATGCAAATCAATCATATTCACCGAAAAATCAAAATATTCCAAATTGCTGTAGCAATTTGAATATCGTTGGCCAACGAAATGGTCAAACATGGACAGCAGCATATGATCAAATGCGCTTTTCTGCCCTAACCGATCCATCAATGGCAACACAAGTGGATGGTCGGTATTTTAAGCATCCTCCAAATCATGCCAAGTGGAAAGATGATGATGATGATGATGAAGATCATGTGATATCACCAGAAGATGAATCAATACATGAAAATGTTTCAACACTATCTAATCCGTCGTCATCAATAAGTGCTGAATTCAATCCATTTCATTTGTTCGGTGACAAATCAGTGACAAATGAACTATCACAAGCATTCAATGTCGCAAATATTAGTGATAATATGACCAATCATATGCTTAACCCAACATTGGTCTTGACCCAACACAATCATCCGATTCCATATCTCAATTATAATTATTTAAACGAATACGATACGAAGTGCAATTGTATTCCGTTTAATTCTTATTCCGCCTATTGTTGTCCCAACTCAAAAACTATGCCTTTACCGTCATTGCCATCAAATTTGCCATGCAGCATGCTGAAGGTCGCTGGGAAATCCCTTCATCGAAGACCGGACATTAACACATCTCGTTCAAGACACGTGATGGCACCAAAAAAGAAATGGATACAAAATTACATGCAAAGTAATTCAAATTTATGTTTTCTTTAAGTATTATTTTCAATATTATGGTTTTCGTCGCATTTCGTTTGTTGTCTTATTTCTACATTGTATATTTGAGGGAATTAAAATAGAAAATTATCGCAATCAAAAATAGAAAAAGAAAACAATGTCCATAAGTAGAATTCTATTTTAAGTACAAACTATTTCTGTCGGACCTTGATTGGCTATTATCACATTTTGTAGACTTTCTTTTCAAATAACAACAGAATAGCACTGGTCAAATTTAGATTGAAAGAAGATATAAGTTCCAAATAAACGAGGTAGAGACTTATGAAAATGTCAAATATTACATGTGTCAGTAATTTTTAAATTCAATTTCTCGAGTAGGTATGTTTTGTGTAAAGAGTCAATCAACAACTATCAAAAGAATGCCAAATTTGCAAAAAAACGTAAATAAATTATGGTTTTTTCTTTCACAAGAAGTGCATATCACGTTTATCTTTGTAAATTTAACTTGCATTCTCAAAATATGCAAAGCTTTTAGGCAAGTTAACATTTAGTTAAATTTATTGCATATTTGATTTGCCGTTAGGCCGAATGGATGAACAATTTTTATTGTTAATTTTTAAAAAAGCGAGTTGAAAATTATAAAAATCATATGCATCAATTGTTTACTAAAGCACATTCATTAAGTAGATGATGATGAATTAGATTTTATTTTTTCTCTCTTTCCGCGTGCACGTGTATATGAATTGTGAACAGAAAATGAAAAGTGTATGTCAATCGATTAGAATTTCAAACGATTTCTTCGATGATATATTATTATTGCGAAAATATTGGCATACTTTTTTACCAAATATATTTATGCAACCTTCACAAAATCGTGTGTGTTGCTGAATTAATTTCGAATCCGTTCATTGGAAACTGGATTGGTCTGTCGATCGTTCGATTTAATGTTGGGCACAAAGTGAGATCTCTTGGGCAGCGATTTAGATCGAAATGGGTGTGATTGCACAACCGACCTGGGCATCAATGCTATTTGCAGCGCATGGCTCCACTTACATCTATTAAAACAATTTTCGATTGCATGAGTACTTCGAAACACGTGCTCGTCTGAATCTACCACCGAGATATATGCATGGCATCTTTTTTTTACTCTCATTATATAAATCGCATTGTAATAAGGACGAACAATGTCGCAGTATGGCTATTATGACCAACATTAAATCGGTTTACTTTACATAATAAATCGAAGAATTGGAGCTGTTTCACTATTTTTAGACAATAATAATGTTCATATTCCATGTAAATTACATTTTAATTTTTAGCTAAAGAATAATCCGTAACCAGTTTCAACAATTGAAATGCTGCGTGCAACGTGGAGTGAAAAATGTGATGGAAAACATATTGGCCTTTTTTCCAACTTGTTATGCATACTTTCGTTACTACACCTGTTATGAAAATCATTTACATAGTTAAGCTGGATTTGTGCCGCATGTCTCAAAGCTCACGTGGCTCTTAACATGTTTTCCATTGCTCGTTCGCAATTGATTATTGTTATAGAAAATAATAAAAATGTTTTATGGATCCCGATTACAATTTCCGTTGAGGACAACTTTTGCGTCATTTGACAAGGGAGAAAAAGGGAGAACATTTCGTAATAATACTGTTGCGTAAACGGAACGTTTTTCAATCACAGTCAGTCATTATTTTGATGCCATTTTGAAGCAAATTGTGGTGGTAAATAAATACATTTAAGAAAGTGGGGGAGCGTGGTGCTAAATGGTTGTTGTTTAGGGTAAAATAGTCAATGGTGTGCTGAAAATCAAAATAATTTGGCTTACATCATAACTCTTTTCACGAACATTTCTACGTATTCATTTTCAATTTGCTTTCTTATACAAAAGCTCTCAATAATATGTACTATTTTTCTATCATACATTAATATTAAATCAAAATGGAAATATATAAACATCTATCAAATGTGGTAAAATTCAACAACATTGAATTTTTTCAGAAGAGCCATTTCCACAACAACGCGATGACATCAATGCCGAACAGGCAATCAAATTGTCAAATTCAAGTGAATGCATTCTATCAAGAAAATCCGATCGTTTTCAATTGCATCAACCGTATCCAATGTTGATGCAACGAGATCGATTGTCATATAATAAACCAATGCCATCACAACATGATTGTCATTTGGTTAAATCGAAATCTTTGTCACCACTTGAATCACATGCACAGCAAAGACCAAAAGCAAATTACTTTGTCAGCGATGCAATGCATATTGCACGTAGCCGAAGCACATCTTTAACATTAAAGCCATTTACAACATCCAACTATGCAATAAAAACAGGTGAAGACTCATCCCAGTCAAGCTTAAATTTGAGCGCATCAAGCGGCTATTTGAGCGGCAGCAGTGCAAACTCCAGCAATTTAAATCTGAGCGGACGCTCATCGTCGTCATCCATGTAAGTGTTTTCTAATACATATTTTCTTTTTGTATTTTTTTGATCTACAGTTAGATTCGGTATTATATGTTCGTATCTCTTGTTGACGCAATTTATTTGATTTTTGATTTTATGCATCAAATAGGAATGGATCAACACACCATATTTCAAACGGAAATGGCGTGCTTACTATTCATTCAAATGGAAATCATGTAAATGGCGATCAAACGACGAACAATCACGTGTTCTATGAAAAGTCGCCAATAATTAATGGATACGTAGATAAACGTAATGGCAACAGCAGCTCGAATGGGACACACCACTTGCAGCAATCTCCACCACAAGCTGTCCAACAGCAAACTCTTACGCCACAGGCAACAAACAGTAGGCGCCGTACAATTAGTTCAAATAGCAATGGGTAAGCCCGTTTATCTTTTATTGTTTTTTTTTTTTTTTATGGGAAATATGTATGTGTAATGGTTTGAACCGCAAAATATTCATTAATGTCAAATGTGCCTAAATTTCGAACAAGCCACAAAAAGGGTGCAATTCATGTTCGAACATAAGTGTCCAGACCATAACAGATATGTAGATAGATTTGATCATTTTCATCACTCATAATCACCCCACACATGTAAATTGTAAGACACATTATAAATTATATGAATAGTGGTACACAACGTAGCGCCTCCATTCATAGGGCCGGTACACGAGAAGTGCACAACAAATTGGAGAAAAATCGACGAGCACATCTCAAAGAATGTTTTGAACAATTGAAGCGTCAACTCCCGCAAATGCAAGAAGAGAAAAAGACGTCAAACCTATTGATACTGTCAAATGCAAGCAAATACATTTCGGTAAGCATTATCGATTCTATTTTATTAAATGACAATGTTACAATTATCATATTCATTATGTGTACATTGTTTAAATGTCATTTGCAGCAATTGAAGCGAAAGGAAAAAGAATTTGAACATGAGATGGAACGTTTGGCCAAAGAGAAAATTGCCAAGCAAGAAAAGCTCGAAGTGTTGCGCCATCAAATGTCCACACGTTTCGATAACATGCATAGTACAATTCAATTGCCGGACAATGAGAGCAACGGCATTCGGGAAAGAGGTTTGTATTTACATCAAATGTACAAAATACATATTGAATAATTTGGCACCTGTCGATTTGAATTAATTCGAAATTTTTTTTTGAAGACAATTTAGGCGATTTTATAAATAATTAAAAACCAAAAAAAATATCGCTTTGATTTTAGTGCCATCAGAGTCATTAAGCGAGCAATCGTTGCCAAGCCGTGTCAGATATGGCTCAACAAGCTCACTATCGAGTGCCGCTACTGCATCTTCACCATGCGCAGCTGGTGTTCCTGTAAGTGTCCATTACCCAAAATAATTTTCTTTTTTGGTTTAAATATAAAACTTTTATTATAATAATTTCATTACATTTCACACACTAGTCGCAGTCGGCATCTACAATTTCGCCTGTGATAACGACCACAAGTACAATCCTAAATGCATCATCATCGTCGCCGTCACCGAAACGAGCTCACTCGTCAAGCCCAATATCGGCGTCGACCGTAAATATGCATTCAGCCATCACAGGTATGCATATCACACATATTATGATCAGCTAATCTGAATTGTTCATTTAAGAAAAATATGTTAAATTTGTAGATTCTCCAAAAATCTTACCAAATGGTCTCACTGCCATTTCAAATGGCTTAAAAGCGCACAATCCACCGATTGCCATCAATTTATCTACGTCTGATGGAATTTCACCGGCGCTATTGAATGCATCAAATGCAGCTGCGGCAATGCCATTGAATTTGGTTCATCAGCCAATCACAAATGGCATTTCAACGAATCAATCAATTCGAACGATCACCGCCGCCAATTCGAATGGATTGCAAATAATAAGCAGTACACCAAGTGTAACAAATGGAAAGAATGGCATTCGCCATCAAGACCATCATAATTCCAAAGAACAAATCAAGAAAATCGAAACGATTTCAACTTCCTCGGAACCACCGACTAAGGTTATCAAGCTGATAAATGGCAATGGCATTACATTGGCATCGGTCGACAAAGAGACAAAACTGATTCCATCGACACAATTAACATTGTCACAAGTGGTTGTCAGTCAAATTCCATTGCTGGCGCCGACTCAGACACTGCGTGTCATTGGTGCACCAAATGGCGTTGCCACCATTGAGTTGAGCAATTCAAACGGTATGTTAAAAATTTTAACAAACAAAATAATTTAAACATCTTTAACATTCAATCTTATCAAAAACATCTTGTTTTGTATTTTTGATAATGATAGCCATCAAAGGACGCACACCAGTCCAAAATCAGCAACATTCTTTGCCGAACGGTACAAATGGAGCTCATTTGCACAAATTTCTTGTGAGTGGTGCATCAACAAATTTAACCGCACCAGTGATTACGTCGACCTTTGTTAATGGCACGATGACCAATGGTACATCTGAATTGGCCCGTTTACCTGGCGGTGCTGAATTAAATGCCATTCTACCGCCGAATACAAACGGCACAACTCTTTATCGCAGCAACGGACAATTGGCGATTATCAAAGGTATTCACTCCTAAATAAACGAGGTGCATGCATTTTTTAATTCTACTTCTTTCACATCAATTCACACCGAACACACAAACAAACCGAAAAAGAAAAACAAAAACGAAGAACGTTCCTTACTTACATTTTCCGTTTCAATTTTTCAATCGATAGGAGCTGAAACAAACCAATCAAATCGAGCAGTTCATATGGTTACACCGCTACAGCAAACAACAACCACACCGATCGTTATATCGTCACAGGGACAAAGCAGCAATAACATAGCACACCACATTATTGCCAGCAATCTTTCATTTACATAAGTTGTAAATGATCAAAAAAAAAACAAAAATACAAACCGCAAGGGAAATATTGTAAAATCACTCAACTAACGCAACACACACACACACATTTACCCAAATACAAACTCACACATACAAAGTAAGAACGAGGAGAGATGCAGAGCATGAAAATTCAGTAAATAAAGAGATGATTGATTGCATCTCTATGCGGAGATATATTGTGAGTTCCGGTAGTCGAAATTGATTGATTTCGATTTGCGGATATATTCAATATGTTTCGGTTTTTGAGATATGTACATAAAAAAACAGATTGTAAACTTTTTGCAACAGATTGAAATATTCACACTTCATGTATGTGCACATATTCAGAAAAGAAAATGCTAATTTTTAATATTTTTTTTTTCGTTTCTTTCATAAAAAAACAAAAAAAAAAACAAAATAAAAAAATGGAAACATTAAATTACAATAAATTGTCCACCAATTTGAATTATATCTAAATTACAATATTTAAATACAAAAAAAGAAGAAAAAAAACACATATTAAATGATAAATAGAGAATGGAAGAAGGCATTTTGTGAATAACGATTGATATATAACCATTTATTGGATATGATTGGATGAATTAAAGTGCAACAGAGAAAAAAAATGATATTGAAAGCGACGTTATTCGACATCACATTAAATGCATCAATTTCTTCATACAAACATATATCTATATATATATATATATATTCAAATAGGAAGCAAATTCAAATGGTGTGTGTGATGATTTTAAACAATTTTAAATTCAATTTTTCTTCGTTCAAAATTCAGAACTCAATACCAGCCATTTGTACCTGAATATTTTGCGAATATTCACAATGAATGCAAAAATGAAATAGGAAGAAGGGAAAAGCAGAAGAATAAGTAATGAACAAATACGAAAAGAAAAGAGCATACAATGAATTACATTTAATTGAAGTATATAGGTCAATGTTTCCAATATTTCTTCGTCCGCAGTTTTATGTTGTTATATTTATTTATACAATACACAGACACACACACACTCACACACACAGACACTTTGTCAACGGAGCATTTAGTTGAATTCAAAATTCAGTTTCATCATCCGTTTTTTTCCAAAAGCCAAAATTCAATACACCACATACATAACATGTGATTAAATCTATTTTCGATCTCGATATCAAAAATGAAAAATGTTTTCGTTGCACGAAAAAAAAACTCGCCCACTTTAAAAGCAAAAGTGTTTGCATTTGAAAATCATGGCGTTCATTATTTTTTGTTTGAATGTATTGCATTTTAAATGACAATAAAAAAAGCCCGAAGAGAATGATACAACAGAACTGAATTTTATCAATTTGAACGGAATCAAACTTTGTTTTACGTTCGTAAAAAAAAAATACGATAGGAAAGAGACGAAGATAAACAAAACCAATTCGACCCATCGAAAACAGCATAAATGCTTCACAAAGCAGCAGTTATTGTAGTTCCGTAGATGCATTTTGTTGTGATTTGATGGGAGCATATACAACCTTCGATGTGTATTTATAGATGTCTTGAATAGAGCAAACTAGCAACATGACAAATGGACATATTTATGGAGATGAATCAAATCCTGTAGCCGTTTTTTTCTTAATCGCTGTCTATATAATCTGTAACAAAAAAAAAACAACACAACATATTTAATGATTCTAACAAGAAACAATGTACACATCGATCGCCGTGCAATATTCATTTAAATTCAAATGAAACTGACATTGGATGGATGCAAGCAATTGATGATGCAACCCTAAGCATATTTTTATTTGTGCGAACAAAAAAAATAACACTTTCAAAAAGCATAAAATCAACAATAAGTATTTTACTTTCAGATAAGAGGTCGCATGCTAACACTCACACACAAACACACACGCATAAAAAAAAGAAACAAAAAATAATAAACAGAGTTAACAATAAAGACATATAAAGTAATAAGTAATACAGCATAACGAAAAAACCAGGCGGCCCTTTATTGACCCGCACGATTCTGATGTGCGAAGCGCAATCCACAAAAAAATCAAATGTCATTCGCATACTATTTATACTTTTTTGGGGTTTTACCATCACTGTGATTGAGATCTTTCATTTGTTTGTCTCCCGGACACTTCAATCATCTACATACAAATACAAAATCAAATCATTTCAGTTTGACAGATAGAGAAAATGAAACAACCAAATTTACCATTGGTACCAGCGACTTCCTCAGTGCTTTCGCAAAATTCATTTGCTCGCGCATATACAAATGTGAAATGAACATTTTTTTATACTAGATCTTCGATAGAATTGTATTAGACCCAAATAACCAATATTGAAAATACAGTGATAAGAATTTCTTATCCTATTTATACATGGTTTTTACAGTGCAAATGCACGAAGACATAAGCAAATTATACATAGAGAAAAAGAAAACACTAAACGAGACTTTTAGTTAACATTTTCACCATGAAAGAAGATTTGAAACACACACAGAGAGAGAGAGAGAAGTGTAGTAAAGGGAATGAATGGACAGAATTTGAAAGACAAGAAAAGCGGATTTGTTGAATTTTTTTTATAGAATGAGATGAAATATTTATTGGAATGAGTTTTTTTTTACTAGAGCAAACGATGAATAATTGATGGTTTCTAAATTAGGCAAATGTATTTTTCGGTCTGAAAAAAGAAAGAAAGGATTTTTGTACCCCCGGTTAACTCGTTTTGTTTAGTTCTTTTTCGTCCTTTTCTGTTAGAATGTTGTGTATTATGGTAAATTGTAGAACATTTTCCTCGCTCGTAGTAATTTGGATCAATGTCTCCTATTCTCTATCTCTTTAAATGCGTAATATTGTAAATAAAATTTTGTTATTCAAAACCAAAATTCGTATGGTATAGAATGAAGAAAAGCAAAACGAAAAAAATAATTGACGTGAAAAGAAGAATTCTTTTTTTATTTGTGTAAAATAGCTAAACGAACACTAAATGTTCCATAATTCAAATCAAAAGATAACATGTGCAAGAACAACTGATTAAATAACAACTACAGTGAATAATTTCAATAATTACAATTTAAAAAGAAACATGAAAATAGAACATACGCATAGATTTAAATGATTAACACAAAACACATAGATAATGATATGATCTGATGAATCGAAAAAATGGATAAGAAAAGAAATGCTTACCCCCTGATATATCCCAAGGAATAACAAATTCCTTTCAAAACGTGAAATTAAATCACCAAATAAAAAAAATGAAAAATCCATTCAGCCGAACAAATAATATGGCGCTCAACAAAGATGAGTAAGAATTGGAGAAAAAACACCAAAAAACTGATTAAAGAAATCACAAACATGATTTACAAAAAAAATCACAAAATTCTGAAAAAAGACTTCAATAAATTATATGTATTATGTTTAAATGTCAAACAATTCTTCACTAATGTTTATACATTGATTGTAAAGAAAATGAAACACAAACAGTTCGAATTTTGTATGATTTTCATTTTTGAAAAAAAAAAAAAACGAAAGCGATTTTTGTTTTCAACCAAGTGGGAAATTGTAATTTTTAATTCGAACTTTTATTTTGTTAAAAAGCTATTGGAACGAATTGAAAGACGCACCTTCCTTCCTTCATATTATACACTCACACAAACCCACTCACATATGCGACATAACTAATCATATGTTCTTTTTTTTCTCTTTCGTTTCGTCTTGTTTCCTTTGTTTTTTTTTTTTTTTTTTTTTGTAAGACAAATACAAATGAAAGTAAATTTATCATTTTAAGTTAATTTATTCCTAATTGGTAACATTTAGATGCAAAATGATCCATACGTCCAAAGGACAGAAAAAATGAAGAAGTAGAAATCAGGTCAATCGTGAAAAATAAAAGGTCAATCGATACGAAAACCACAAACATACCCTAATACTAATCGAAAACAAAACCAGTTCTTATTCTTTGAAAAACGAATATATTCAACTTTGATTGAGAAAATCCATAAGTTTCAATCTTTCTTTTTTTTGTAAAAAAAGAGATGAAATTTCGAATTGAATGAATGTTATGAACATTTGGAAGCATATACTAATCTACCATGAGAAAACGGATTACAAAAATAAAACAACAAAAAACCAACAAGAATAGAACCATTTTACACATGTCAATTTTCAAATCTATGCATTTGAAAATGAAAATAACAAATCTAAACGAATATAGAAAAAAAAAAACAAAAAAAAAATGATTTAGCAAAATATTCTGAATATAAAACAATATTTTGATTATGTCTTGATGTGAAACTACTATCAACATATATATATAAATATATGTATTAATATCTAAACAAAATTTTAATAATGACAAAAAGACGAGAAAAAACGATAAAAAAAAACTTTAAAAGATACAAACACAAAATATTTACTAAAATTTAAAGCATTTTTAAGAGTTATACATCAAATAAACAACATCAAAGAAACAAAATGAAGATGGAGGAGAATAAAAGAAAAACACACACACACATGTATGAGTGAAGAATTTCGACGCAAAAAAGAAAAATGCAAAATGAGAAATTAATAAGAACACGGATCGAAGTCAAATGATATCCTTAGAATTATAATGGACAGTTTTCCGACGAAAGTGGCGAGAGATGATAGATTAACGTAAGAAAAAAAAACCGAACGAAAGTTGATAGAGAAAAGAATGAGATAGAATGAAACGACAACAACAAAAAATGAAAACGATTATTGGAAACAACAAAAAAAAAACATAAATAATAACAAATTTAGTGCAAGCAAGCTATTTATAAATTATTATATTAAAAATGAAATTGTATGTAAAAAATGCAAAAAAATACAAAAAAGGAAAAATAATCTACAAAAATTTTGTGGTCTTATTCATTTTGTTCAATTATTCAATTATTTCACCGTGTGAAACACACGTTTTTAGGTAAATTCGGTAGCTTTCGATAAAAATGCGCTTTACGTGCACACAATTTCACAATATATACCATATTTTATTCATTTTTTTTGGTTAGCTTCTACAGGCTTCACTTTTGTCACGTGGCCGAACCAAAATCTACACTCATACATTGAAAAGAATTTCTTCATCGTTTTTGTGCTATTTGATATTTGAACCATGCGGTTTTCATATTGAACACAAAATGAATGTGAATTTCATGATTTCTTGTAATATTATCTAGAGACAGTTGACGTCAGTGCAATAATTGCGATGATTAATACGTTTGTTTGTCAGCGAAGAGTAAGTAATGCGAAACAAAGGATCGAATTAGCGGGAAAACGTTAGCTAGACAGAGAAAGAGAGAAAGAGAGCGCGCGAGTGAAAAAAAGATATTTTATAGAGCTACAGGGTGTGCAACAGGCACTAGCGAACATTTCGCAATTCAACGTGTCATTGCCAAAGAAAGTTCACTGATTCATCAATTTGAATTCATTGTCATATCTCGACTGCTCTTACTTCAGATTAAAAATAAACGTCCAGAAATGAAAAATACAATAAAATCAAAAAAAAAAAAATGAATCATCTAATATAATATGTGACTAGCAATGTTTCTATAAAAAAATAAATCAATGGCTATTAATCACCCCGTACATGCAATCGCCCAATACATTTACAGTAAAACACGTGCAAACACTATATGGTACATTTCCTTGTACAACTACAAAGAAACGGCGCAGTAAATGAAATGTTTTTGTTTTGTTCTGAGTGTTCGAAATGCTTTCGAGTGTTCCTTGCGAGCAAGAGATATCGCGCGTCGCGCGCTTACGCCACAGGCAAATCCAAATGGAAATTGGCATCAACACAATGCATATAGATATAAGCATATATTGTGTGTATACATGTATTTGTTTGTATGTATTACATATATATCAACATCAGTTGTGAATACAATTAAATGATTGTTTACACGCTTTCTTTCGAACAGTTCGGAGTTCGTATTATTATTTTTTTCATCTTCTGTTTGTATTGTGCTCGGTTTCGCTTCGTTCGAGTACAGTCATTTGGTTTTTATTGATATACACATTAGCTTCGGGTTAGCGCGCGAACTTGACCGAAGCGACAACATTCGAATCGTATTGTACTGTGCGCGCATGTACAAGAGTTGAAGTCAAACAAGCCAGTATAACAAAAACAAACACGCATTCGATGAAACTGATCAGAGAATAAATAACAACACAGCTGAAAGTACATACGGAGCGATTTTTGCACTACATCGGTGCAAATGAATATAAAAAAATTGTCTATTTGCGATAGCGCGAATAAATATTTCAAGTGATTATAATATTAAATAGAGACAAAAGTGGAACGAACAAAAAATTCCCCCAAAAAATTAATTGATAACAGAAAAAAAATATATTTGAAGTCAGAAACAAGTGAACAGTGAGAGAATAAAAAAAAAGTTCGATTCAAAAATCAATGTGATTGAAATATAAGAGTTTTGCTTAAATTATGAAAGCACATGTTCTTTGTTTGAAAAAATTTCACAAAAATTTGTTGTTGAATCGAAATTTTATCAGTTGAATTATTTTTTTGTTGTTGTTTTTGTGCATATTTTTTGTTCGTACTGATAAACGTCAGTTGAACTGTTTTCGTAAGTTTTGTTAACAGAGTTAAATATCAGTTGATAATAATTTTTGTGTTATCACGATCAGTCATCATCGAAAACAACACACATTCAAAACATTTTAGAAGAAAAACATTTCGAAACTGTGCAAAAACAAAATCGGACACAGTCTCAAATGAATGAAACTGAAATAACAGTTTTTTTTGTTTCGATGCGATTGAAGTGAATGTGAATAAGAAAAAATAATAATAATAAAAGAACAAGAGTTCAAGCGAGTGACATTAAATTGAATGAATTGCAATTTGTAAGTGAAAAAAATCGCGCGAAATTCAGTTTGCACACAGCATCGCAAGAAGACATAACCAATAATAATAAAAATAATAATAAAACAGAGTGTGTTTATATTTGACATTTTTGTTTGTTTATTTGTGATCATTGCAAGCAAGTTGAACTGTTGAATTTTAATGTGCATGAACAGAATCAACAAATACAACGAAGAAAAAAGAGTGAGCGGATGGACAAGCGACAACTTTGCATATCGTATTTGTTGAATAACAAAATACCAAAAAATTATAATATTCTATAGAGTTGAGGAACAATCTACCAGAACCAATTTAATGTATTTCTATAGTTTCACACATTTCAATTTGTGTTCGTAAGAATTCAACTATTAGGAAAAAAAAACTTGTATTTTTTTTCGGTGTTCGGACAGAAAAGAATGAAAACGGCAAATATACAATAGAGTGAATGCAAAGACAAAGCAGAACAATCAAATTCATATACTAGTAAAGTGATATAATAGATTTCGGTGGACAAGATTCGTTTGTGTTCGTATTATTCGTTCGTTCGGACAGTCAGCCACTCAATTTGATGTGAATGTAAAAATTGAAGCTTGACTTATAAATCATATAACCATATAAAATACCCATAAAATATTACAGTACATGACTATTTTTATTTTCCTTTTTGCCATTAAAACCACACACATACATTTTCATAGAATAGTATCTACGATATTCTATGCATTATCGCTCGACGTGTCTCGTTGTATATGAAAAAGATATTTGTTAGAGTAAATCATCTGATTCGCGAAAATAAATATAACGCGCGCAACACAACGAATTAAAACGAATCAAGAATAAGAAGAAGAAGAAAAAGTATCATAAAAAGCGACTCCACATTTCTAAAATCAAAACAAAGCATTTCAGATCAAAACCTAAGCAACAAAGAAACGATAGACCACGCTATCGTTAGAAGAGTTTGCACACTCACTAAACACACAAAATAAATATACAAATACATAGATAGACTCACACACAAAGAATTGATGGAATCATCTCTTGCGCTGATGTCATTGTGTTGGTAGAACTTGTTCGCATATATGAAATATTGTGCGCGAGAAGGAGACGAAACAACCCGAATGAGCTAATGTGACGATATTCACTGTAGTGCATTGTGTCATCATCGTCAACATCAATAAAAAACAGTTGAGTTTTGTTTTGTATACTCTCTTCTACTGATTAAATAGAACATTATATGTACATGCGTCCATACACACAAAAGTCAATGCTATTAATTCACAAAACGTCGTATTTGTGAGAAATAAAGCAGTGAATTTTGTGTTTGGATCAACATCGTTTGTAAGTGCAAAATCTAAAGATTCTCTTTTTCTTCTCAAAAGGAAAAGGACGACCGAACATTTTGAGCGTGCAGCCATTGTTCACCATTTGGAAACCAGTTAAATACAATATTTCCCTTGAGCAACCCGAATTCAAAGTCAAACACAAGGAGAATTTCATTATTCAAACAACGACACTCGTGTATATATCGGGGTATTTTATGAACTATATATATATAGCATTTGAATTCACAGTGGTACTTGTTCGACGCATGCGCACCGATTCACAAATAAACCAAAAATTTTATACAAAACAACATCAACGCATCGCGTCTGCAACAGACGTTGCTGCTGCTGCTGCTGCTGTTTGTTTTAGATGGAAAGGAATGAAAATCACCCCACATGTTCTCATTCACAAAAATAAGAGTTTAAAAACATTGGAACGCGATTTTGTGCGATAAACGAGCGCAACAACAAAAATACTCACACGCACTTATACACACAGGCACACGTGCACCGTTTCAGTTTGCAGAAAAACCGAAAAACAACAAGCAAGTTAACGCATAGCGTGGAAAATACTCGGTGCAACGACAGCAGTTGTTGTTTACGACAATCGCATTATATTGGTGGAAAGAAAATACCATCGCTTAGAACCCCGTCGACGAGCGATTGAGTTACATGCCAAGTTAGCACCACACCATTACGTGGTTAGCTCGCGGTACAGTCGTACACGGAAAATTACACACAGCGCAAACAATTTCAAGATTTTTGTTTTATTTATTTATTTTTTGGCCATCGATAGAGCGAGAGACAGACTCAAATATAGAGGAAGACATATACTTAATAAACAATAAATAGAAATATAAATCGGAAAATTTTTCTGTGACAACACGAGTGTTGAATCGGTGCCAGTTGTTGATCTATTTTATTTTCATATTGCGAAAAATTTTGCGATAAAGTTCGTGTTTATAAACATTGAGATAAAGAAAATAAGACGATTATTTTTTTTTTTTTTGGCTGCAATAGTTAGAGTGAAAGTGATTTTTGGTGAAACAAAAAGCAAAGGCACGTAATTTAACACATTCAAATAAAACTGATTGTTGCGGAAATTTACTGAGAGCAAGTCATTTCGGCCAACACACGGTAAACACCGTCTACCACCCGTTCTTATGCAAAAAACACATTTTTGATTTCATTTTCTCCTCTGAAGCTATGCTGTTGAATTGTTAACGAGGTAAGTTGAAATTGACATTTTTTTTTCTTTGAATTAATTTCATCGATTTCTTTTTTGTTTGACGGAACAATTTTAATTAATTCTAAGAAATTAGGGATATACAGTTTATTACAGTTAAAAAATATTTGTATTTGAGTTTCATTGAATCAGATAAATAGATTAAAAGATATAAGTGTGGTTTCAAATTGGCCAGCAGACATAGAAATTAGTTGTCCACGCCAATTCATGTGTGCGTGAAAACATTAAATATTGAAATTATCACAAAAAAAAATCGTCCAAAAATCGTCGCTGCTGAAGGTGAATAGTTTTTCCGAATGAAAAAAAATACATACATATTTCATGTGATTTGCATAAGATAATCATTTTGTGCCGCGTACCTTCTTATAATAATGTGGCAGTATTTTTCACTTAACCATTTTAACGACGTGTACTTTATGAGATGTAAACAATCGATTACGGCGAAAAGGTTTTAGCCATCAACCATCGTAAACTCTCAATGGTTTCCATTTTTTTTTCGTCGTGTCTGTCGACGATAAAGCCTGCGCTGCTTAATGGTTAGTTATGGGTCGCTGCAAGTTACCTTAATGAAACTCATTTCAATAGAACTAGTTTAATGATACGAAGTCGCACACCGTGGGACGAATATACGCACACCAGAAAAATTGGGGTGACGAAACAATAGTGTCCGTATTTTCATCTTAAATTCCGCTAAACCAAAAACTCCGACGATCTATTCCACCGAAATATATTTCAAATGCTAGTTATTAATAATTGCATGAGTTTCAAGATTTAGTTGATTTTCACAGATTGAACGAAAGAAATAGAAAAAGAAGAATTTGAATCTATATGGTCTAATTCACGTGATTTGAAAGTAGATGGTAGGTAGTACGGAAGAGACACGTGTTAATTTTCATATATTCCACCAGTTTTTTTGCATTCATCTGTTCTAGGAAAGAGAGCACGCACGACAAAACCTGCGTGCTTCATACAAGAGCAACAAGCAAAATAAAATAACAAAACAAAAAAAAATAACCAACTCGAAAAGCAAAAAAAAAAAAAAAATTGAAAAACAGAAGGTACAAATACACAATAGAGATGTACAAACGTACATTTGCACGTAAGATAAACAATTCGCGAAGGGAACGGAAACTTGTTTGTTATTCACTGTTCACTGCAACAATTTGAACAAAAGCAACCACCTTTGCTGGCAGTATTTTAAACGAAAACGAAATGAAGAAAAAATAACACGAACAAAATTTATGCAATACGTGTATTTTGTTTTCTTTTCACCGCGCTTATTGTTTTCAATAGCTCTATTATATCAGAGCCGGTTTGAGCGCAGAACGAGTGAACAAGAGAGAAAGATCATTTCTAAAGAAGAAGTAAAAAATCCATGGGGACGCTATAAGGGATAAAAACTAAGAATAAGAATAAAAAAAACAATGTGATTTCAATGTGAATGGTACTTTTTTTCTCTCTTCTCTCGCTTGATTTCGTTCAATTGGCCCAGTGTACGAATCAGAATAATAGAATAAGGCATTTTCGTCCCTATTGAACAATAGATTCAAACGGAAACAAAGGCCAAACCGGGTCAATGGATATGGCAAAAGTGAAAGAGACTAACTAGAATTTCAAAAATATTCCCATTGAGTTCCAATTGAAGGAATCCAGTATCGAGATGGGAAAGTAGTTGGATTCTGATTCACGTGAAAATCATTTCGAAATGCGTGACAGAGAGCGACAAAAGGAAATCTATAGTGTTTTTGTGTGTATCACAATACAATGTGCGATTTTTTGCGGTGCCTTTTGTGTTTTTTCATTCTTTATTTGTTGCATTCGTTTCGTTCTGATCTACGAAAATATAAAAGAATATATATCGCGGTGATGCATTGTTCTCATCCCTTCTTTAATGGCCCATTCGCTGATCAGAACAAATCAATATGAATAAGAACAATAAAGTTGTAATTTTGTTTTCGACGATTGTAATAAAAGACAAGTTTTAACTGTAAATTGTGGATTATCTTATATACATTTTGTAGTGTACTTTAGCAAAGAAAACGATGATTTTTATTCGCTCGAACGACGAGCATTGCTAACTTGGGCAAAAAAAGCGAGAACAAATAAATAGTATATTTGATCGTAAAAAATTGCAGCACATACAAAGGACATGAAATTCAAAAAGATGGGTTCTTATTCGTAAAACGCTTTCTTTCATATAGATTTGATTGTTATTACGCGATTATTAAAATGAAAATGAAATTTAGTGCCATGGGCACCGCGTTTTCGGAGGGTTATAAAATGGCATAATAAAGAAAAAAAAAATTATATATATTCAAAAATGTCCACAAATAGAATAGATTTCAATGATTTTTTTTCTTCACTTCCTGCCCCGATTCCGTAAATAGCAAAGGGAAACGATGATTCAATTCAATAACGGTGAATTTATACTAATAGTAATGAGCAAAGATCGTTGAATGACTTTGAAAATGAGCACATAAAATGATAATAAAATGTTGTTTTAAGGGCAAGTTTTATTTCTTATTTTGCACTTTTGTTGCATTTGAAATGCTCATAAAAAAACTGAACACATTTGCGAACGGATGTTGCTATCATAAAATTCAATAGATTTTGCACAACTGACTGATTCCAAGGGGTTTTTATAACTAACCAAACTATTTCTAGCAGTTAGTCATCTGTAAAAACCGATTGCATTTTTCTCATCAAGCAAAATTCGATTACTCATTATAAATTCGCAGATTTTTCATCGATTTTCTCGCGTGTTTCAATTCGATTTGCTTTGAAATGATTTTGAAATCAATTCAAAATGCATGTCAAATCATATTAGATTGTTCACCATCTTACTTGAATTCAAATCAAAAAATTTTTTTTTTATTCAATTCAACTTCATAGTCTCGTTACTATTATTAGTATATTTGTGATAATAATAATGTCATATCACATTTTAAAAAAAAAGTACTTAAAAATAGAAATTGTCTGACGAAAAAAGTAGTATATTTTCTTACAGCTGTGTATGCACAACATATGATTAAGTTGTATTCCAATAGTTTTTAAGTGTGACTGTCGCCAGCTACGTCACAATGGGACGGAAAACATATGATAATCAAACAGGTCGCCTTGAAAGACAACCGATCATAGCCACTCACATACAAACATCCATACATATAGGCCAGATCGCATACATCAACACAAATTAGCGCAATTTAAATGCAAACGTTCGAATTTTGTAATTGAGAATTTTAGTAACGACATGGGAAATGATTTGTTTTTTGTTTTGTTTTGTTTTTATTGTATGTGATATGAAATCAAAAGAAGTTTCACGTATTTTCATCAAATACACATTGATTTTTGTATGCGTATGTGACATGGGTACATTATCACGACCTCGGTAGTCGTCATACTCTCAAATAAAAAGCGACTTGTTTCATGTGCTCGTCTCTTTTGCGTATGCACCATACTAAATCAAAAACTCAGTCGATTAGTTCGATTATCAATTTATTTTTTTATTGATTTGTATGTGTTGTACCGATGTGATTTCAAGTGCTTGCCGAACCAACTTTAGAACAACATTTAATGAACTGGAACACATTCAATTTATTCGATTCGTATTATAAATTCCAATGAAATCAAATAAAATTAAAAATTAATATTCATACGAGATAGCATGGCATATAGCCACAGTTACAACCAAAACGGCACAGACATAGAAACATTTTGTTTTATTGTCAACTGAATATGCCCATGCGGTATGGCACTTTTATATTTAGATTATCGCTGCTAAATTATTCACTCAAAAAATATAGTAATTGAATTTTATTCGTCGGCTTCGATAAGGTTGTAATAAAAAGAAATATTTGCTTGATCGCCTTTATGACATCGACGGTTTCAATACATATTCAATATATATCATTTCCGCTAGTGTTGCTTCATTTAAATTGATTTAATATTATGTAAAAAAAATATCCATTTTTGAAGTCAAACAGACATGAAACGGCTGTATTTTTTTCTTTTTTCGCTTGGCATAACGGAAACATTTGTTGGATGTAAAAACCATCAATTTATTCAAAAATTATTTACGATTGACTGTAAATGAAAAACACCCAATTTTTTTTTTCTTTTTCAACATAAAATAGTTTCCCCTTCAAACTAAGTGAAAAATGTTGCTACATCTTTCTTCTTCAATCCATATTTGAACAATGATCAAGTAAACATCAAACCAATGTTTTCCGTCCGAATGTTCTCACTCGAAGATTGAACCGAATACAACAGAATAATAAATTGAAACACATGTTCGACTATACATAAAAAACAGCTGACGATGTAGTTAAAAACAAACGTACAATGTGCATAATCATCTCTTTACATGCAAGAGTTGTTGTGATTTATCGGTGTGATAAATGTGTGATCATGACTTCTATGAAAAAGAGTGAAACAATACTGTCAAATATTTAAAAAAAAAACACTTCAATCGATGCCTTTGTGCTTTGTCACTTTTGTGATGACACTATGCCCATATGATTAAAAGAGAACACATTTTGGCAAAATGTAAAGTAATAAAAAAATGTCGGGTCTCTTGACAGCCAATCGTCACACTTAATGTCAACAAAAAGTGGGACCGCGAGCACATTTTTCACAGAAAAATCAAATATGTTTTAAAAGCCTACGGCCAACGGATGGGAACGGCCAAAGGAATGAGAGGGAGAGATGCACAGAGGAACAGTAAAAACAAATAACGATAGCTCATAAATCGTTGTGTGGCAAACCGAAAATAAAAAAGGCCATACACCATACGAAGAAGAAAAAAAAACGCTTAATTAGTTCGGCTACATTTTGCACTCGATTGAATAGAGCAATAAACTCTTGACTGATTGACATATAGCATCTGTATATAAAGAGAAAAATGATTGTATATATAGATGAATAAAACGGAAAATGAAAATAAGAGTTGAGTCGTACTTAAAATGACATCAGAATTGGGCAGATGAATTGAAATTGGAATGAAAACCAGAAAAAAAAACTCCATTCGAATTCGAAGTCAATTAAGAGTTGTGTTTTATTTGATTATTGATTGGAATCCACTTTATCGTTTCACAATATATTTCGACTATTTTTCATCATTTTTTTCTGGTTCAAAAAGCTGTTTGTTGGGTGTTCACAGTTCAGTTTCGGCAAGAGTGTGTGCGAAAGGAATTTTAATTTTTAAAATTTCTGCATTTACAAATTCACATGTGGTGAATTGAAATCGTGTCTTAAACATTGAAAATTTTAACTTATCAATATTAGCAGATGTTCCAAAAATTAATACGTACAAAGTTCAACAAGAATATACTGCAAGTTCATTTCACGTGATATTTACGATTGTTGTTGATTTTTTTTTAACCAAGGATCAGCCCATAAAATAAAATGGAACTAAAAGAAAAAAGATGTTTTTTTTTTTTCAAGAGAACGAAATTAAATGCTTTTTTTTGCATATTTATTACCTCAACCGATGGGTTTATTGCATCTCATTTAACGCGTTTTGTTATGAGAATGTGGAGAGGAATCATTGACTTATGGCGATACACACATATGTGCGGATAATAGTATTGTTGATGATTAATGCTAGAAAGGTTGAATATAAAATAAACTAAAACGAAAAAAAAAACTTATTTTTTTTTCTCTCACCTGCATATCAAAATATTCTCTTTTCAAATGAGAAAATGGTCAAATTTTTCTACACAAAACACTTGGTTGAAAAAAAGGCATATGATACAAATGAAATTTCACATTCAAAGCGATGAATATTCAAGATAAGTTGAGCACTTAACAAATTAAAATTGTCTGTCTCATTTAAAAATTATACAAACGCACACTAAAAAGAATTGTTAATGTTTCAAAGTAAACTGTATTGAATGTAATCTTTTTGATGACAGGGTATGAATGGGATCAAAGTATAAAATCAGCAAAAATGCCATGAAACAATGATAGTTGTGGCATTTCAAACGATGATTGTTGTGACACCCTGTACATGAGAAATGTTGACTCAATCATCTATGATTTATAAAATGGTCATAGAGACAAAACGGGCTCGAATGACGGTGATGATGAGAGACAAAGGCCCAAAAAGTGAAGAGAATAAAAATTGATACTAGAAAATATGCAAATTTGAAACATGCGCGTGTTCGTTGCTTTAATCTCAAAACGTTTAAATAATAAAAAAAAATCGTTTGAACCAAAAGCAGAATATATGTACTAAAAACCGTTTTAAATATTGGTTAGATGAGCTGTTTGGTTGTGTGTATTTGTTCGTGACAAATGGTGTGTGTGGTCATTAGAACAATAATATGGAATTCATGTATATGGGTTTTCGTGTGTCATTCGTTCGAGTTCAGTTCATTTGCATATTGTATCGCATTGTATACTGTAAACAACAGCAATGATTTATTTAAATTAAACAATCGTCCACCACATGCAATACAAATTCTGATGATCATTATTAATACGCGATTATTGTGTGCCGCTAAAGGTATTCATGAAACTGAACACACATCCAATTAAATGATTCACAATGTATATACACACAGAGAGATAGAGAGAAACGTTCGCATATGTTCGCATACATAGATATCGCACTTACACATAGCCGTTCAATTAAAAATTTGTATAATCTGAATACATGTTTATGAGCTGTCACTGGCGCGCTTGGGTCAAACGAGATTACAATCGTATATAATGAAATTTATAAAATGTTTTCATCATCACCTGCTTTTGTTTTGGTTCCAGCTGAACCAAATTTGTTGTTTGCCACAGACATGCGAACATTTAAAATAGTCAATGTATGGTCATTTTATTTCCGTAATTTGTTCAATGCGATGAGCAGAAGGTTGGCCCTTTTAATTAAAATCCATATAAATCCATGACTCCAATCATATCGACATTTTATAACATTTTTTTTTTTCGGTTCACGATTGAAAAATGCTAATTAGTATTTATTAAAAATTAAATCAATGGCTTGATTTAAAATTGCCCACGAATTCTTCGAAATGTCATTAGTTCAAATCGAATGCTATATTACCTATTTTAGACTTTGCGTTTGATAAATTGCATTTCGATAGAGAGGAGGCAACACAATCGGAATGAAATCGTCTGATGTACGTGTGTAATTTTTATAAGCTCTCCCGGATAGACTTGATAAATGGAACCACAGATAATCACACATGCTAGAAAGCAAATTCAACCGATTTACACTAAACGAACAAACGAAATAAAAAAAATGAATACGAATGAGTCAGGCAAAGATCAAAATATTCTTGAAAGGACACATCCAAATGGTTTTGACGATGCAATAATAATAACATCGGAAATTGCCACAAGCGCATGCACTGAGAAGCTGCTATTGTTTACTTTTAATGTCGGCTCGTGTTCACGAAACTTTTTTCTCCTCATTTCTCTCTGCACCGTCCCATCTCTCTCTCTCTCTCGGCGATTCTATCGAGAATAGAGGCGCTCGTGCAAGAAAAATTTATGCAATTTGCAGACGCATCTAATCGCAATACAAACACATCGTATATAACATTGTTTATTCGCGAATGTGTGTCGCTTTTATTTTCGTTGATTTAATATGAGCAATTGACACAATGTGCTGCATTAAATAAACAAACAAATCAAATAATCGTAATAAATAGTAACTGATCATATGATTGTACTGAAAACATGTTCTTACTAACACAGATTGTTGTTTTGTATTCTTTTTTTATCCTATGCACAATCAAATAAACGAACCCAAATCAATCGATTCATTGTATTTGTACCGTGAATTGCATCAGACGTAGTTACGTTGATTATCGTTGTCATTTTGTTTTCTTTTTCCGTCGTTGCATTACTGATAGAACTTTGGGTCGATGCATTGTGGCACACAAAACACGGTTTGTGTATGTATGGAACATTTGGGCGGTGTTCTGGTTTAACAATGATAAATCAAACACGAGCTAAATGGCACACAGATTGTGTGGGAGCAATAAGACACGTGTATGATAATGGTTATTTTTAGATGTTTAACCAATTCGATTATTTATATTATTTGCGATACAGAAAATCAAAGTTTTCTGATTCGTTTTATACATGCAACGATCTCTCATGTCATTTTAAATTGTCACACGCCATTCACATGCAAATCATTCGTTCGTCATTCTGACGCTTTCATTCTTAATTCGTATCTTTCCTCTATTTTGATATTCATCAATTCGTATTAAAACAAGAAAAGTATGTTATCAAAATAACATGACAAAATTAGACGAACATTTGAAATTCGTAATGTTTTGATTTTGCGGAAGCAAATGCGTGTCATTTTATTTAAAATCGGTTCGATTTCATTCAGGCCGTGTGTGATTTGCGCCGAATCAAAATCTGGCCCGAACACAAGACGAACAATTTAAATATAGGTAGCAGTACTAATAATTTGCGCCAAATAAAATCCGAATCTACGTTCCCATTCGTTGTCGTCGTCATAGTACGACAAATATTCACAAAGAACGCGATTATAAATGTTTTGTTTGATTTCACATTTTCTATCTCTCTTATTCACATTGTTTCTGTTTGCGCTCTGTCATCATGAGTAGTTTTTATATATATTTTATTCTTTCTTCATTTGTTGCGTTGAGAATTATCACATGTACTTTGCGTTAAAAATATGCGAAAGTGAAAATTGGGTCAATTGCTGCCTTTTTTAACCGTCTTAATCTTTTTATAATATTTCCCCTTCTGTTTTTACATCGGTTTCTATTTTAATAGGATAAGCTCTCAATTTATTAATTGGAGCTGAACAAATCGCAACACGTTGATAGCACGCACACATTGTTTTCTCTAGTTGTGTAATCATACACACAAGTTAAATTCCGATCGATTCAGAAAAAATTGTTGAGAGACGGAAAAAAAGAAATCATCAACCACAATAGTATTAGTAATTGTTGGTTCGTTGCAACGATAAGATAAGCGAACATGGTTTAGCAAACTGTAAAAGGGTAATGAAACGAAGTCGTCTATTTTGAACCCAACAGATGAATGCAAAAACTAATTTACACGTGGAGTGAAAAAGAAAAGAAAAGAAATAAGAATCAGAGATAGGATATTTATATTTTATAGGTTCATGCAATAAATACAGATTGGAGCGAAGTCCTTCAAAACAGTTAGTCTCGCACGCCACACATTTCTTCTTGCAAAATTTCACACACACGCCAAATTCTTGAAATGAAATATTAAATTTAACGCTGTGAATGAACTCTGTCGCAGTGAACATTTACGTCGATGCATCAACCTTTTATTGTAGCCACATTTTAATGAGACGCCACCGCAGCAATCATCTATAAAACGTAACAGAACCTGATTCTAATATAAATACGAAATAGATTTTAATCAATTATCTACTGTTTATTTGAATTGTCATTTTCAAATCAAGTGTTTTAATTATTTTATATATTTTTTTTCTCTTCTCGCTACCCATTTTATGTACGTGATATAATCATAATATAATAACACATTTAAATGTAATATTTATATTAACTGACTGAATGTGTTGGAAAATGATCGATGTTCTTTGTGTGTGATTTTCGTACACAGAAGACGTTGTCGCCTTGCATCAGTTCATCATATGTATGTGCATTTTATCAGAAAATAAGAAAAACTTTCATTGCCATTAATATATGTGGTAAGTCACTTACTAATTAACAACTCTCACACAACAAAAAAAAAAAAACATGAAATGTTCACTTCCATTTTTATTTTGTTCAACTTCCGTTGACATTTCATTTTCAGTAGTTGGTGTTTTATTCTCTATCAGTAGTATGCATGTGATTTTATCACTAAAATTGTTTATTATTTTCTATGCACAACCGTTGGATGTTTGACAAAAAAAAGGGATATTTTTGAACTGTTTATTTTTATCGATGTTTTAATAAATAAGTGCATGGCTCCGTGTGAAATAAAAACGCTTCACAAAAGCTAAATAAAATAATAGCTTTTGAACAATGGACTGTGGCGTATATATAACTTGAATGCTTTTATTTACAAAAAACTGAGTTTGTTTTTTTTTATTTCGAGCAATCAAGCATTTACGATCAAAACACATTTTCGGGGTATAAGAGCTCTCAACCGTGCTCACGAAAAACTGGAAATTCATTAACGATTCGAAAACAAAACCCCAAAAAAACTGGTATAATTATGCTAAGCCCTAACATTTCACGCTACATACCATTTGTCATAATTCCAATGTGAATTTAACATGAAAGGATAAACGTTGATAACATTTATGCATAAAAAGCATGATACATTGTTAGTCCCACCATTTGTTCTGCAGGAACATGTTCTTTTTATTTTTAGGAACACAATTTTTTGTTTTTCTTCTTCATTTTCTTCAAAGTCACGTAATTATGCGGCCCTTTGTTCCCCATTTCAATTGTAAAACAAACGAGCTCGCGCGACTACGAGGAGTTTATGTGTTTGTCAAGTAACAGAAGTCTTTTTTGTTTTTGAATGTGACCTTGAATGATTGCCGATTTCCTTTTCGTATGAATGTTTAATCGTATAAATATAACTATCAAGAATAAGAAACATTTGTCTGTTTTATTTATAAAACTCGTTTAAATTTTATTCATTGGATGTCGTTTAGCGCCAATACGATTTGCGAGCAAATTTCTAACATCCATCCGCCGAACAGATTTTTGTTATTTTAAGCATGTGTTCAAAGCCATGCGTATGTCAACATCGAAGCACTATAAGTTCATGTTAATTGAATTGAGTTGAAGCCAAGGTTCTATTGTCGAATTATTATGCGGGAAAATTGGTTATTCATATACACGAATAAAATGATCGTTTCGATGTATTTGATGAAATGGAAATAAATACTCTCTATGTTTCATTCGCATTAATTGGCAAGTGTTCAATTTTTGTTTATCGATTTACCCTTTTCAATGATCTCAAGTATCTTTTTTTTCAAAAATGTTTTACACAACATCACGCATTTTGAATCAAATGCGTGCTCCAAAAAATTGAAACGTTCTTAAAATCTTCCACGCATAAAAGATATAAAAAAAATTTCGATTCAATTTTTTTTATCAGTTTTTTATTCCATTATTCTATTTCACCTCAATTATCTCAATTTCTACATATTTTTTCGATTTTATTTTTTAATTTACATACTTTTCCGATCATTTATGTCTGGCGCGCTGATATTTCCACCGGGATCCAAATCGAATATCCACAGCTATGTATTCGGGGGTTAAAGAAAACAAATAAAGATAATGCCATCCCATGCATGAACATGAGCCACACTTGAGTCTTGTTATTATTATTTTGAAAATGCACGCACAAGTTACGTTGATCTATGAAAATATAACGAAATTAATTGCTTCCCACGAATGACGCAAATTGGTTATTTTTCATTTTGGCAATCAATACGTTGTATCTCAATGTAATCGTTGATACATTTGTTTTCTTTAATGTTGGAATTGAACTGAGCTATCGAAAAGCTCCAGATAATTTTTCCACTTGTAGAAAAGTGACGCCCACGGCCAAAATGTATGTCGTGTAAACATATGAGCTATCATTGAGATGCCATTATTTTATTATAAGCCATTGTTGCTTTGAAGAGCTTTTGATTTGTGGAAATCCCTATTCAGTTTTTGACTTTGTATACGCGAATGAAGTACACGAATGAAAATAATGCAAACAAAAATCGTTCTATGTCATGTCGGTTAATTGATGTTCATTCTGACTTTTGAAGTCACTTAATTGACATCAATACTTAAAGCTTGGGCACTTCAATTGAGACATCGCCAATTGCAAAGCAAACAACAAGCAGCAGCAGCATGAAGAATGAATGCAAAATCAATTGCAAACAATTCACATACACACATCGGAGACTAAGTGAACTGCTATCATACAAAAACCGTTGACAAAGTTCAGCTATAAAGACAATAACATCATTTGCAATCGTTGTGTGACTGGAATAAGAGAGTAGCAACGAACATTGATTATATGTTTATATATTTTTTTTTATAAAAGCATTCGTGAGAGCTTGGATATGTGACATAAACAAACCATTTTATGTATATAAATGTTTATTATATATTGGTGTGCGCGTAAACACACATATAAGCATACAACAATAATCTCAATGTGGCGTGAGTCGAGCCTCTTTTTTTTTCTTCATTTTTATGAGTCAATATACTATGTTACTGCTTTTGTTTTTCACTAATTTAATCGACAGTGGCGTCTTGTGACAATTTTCGGTTATATGACTTTCGGTTGTTTTTCAACATTGACGTCACACTAGTGTTACAAGATTCATGCTTGGCACAACTAAGCATGGCATATTTTTTTTGGAATTTCACTTGGAAAATGTTGTACATGCTCATATATAGAGCCACACCAATATACTAAACTGTTGTTTACGCGGCGAAGAAAAAAAAATCAATAAAGGATATGCGTGCTCATGAGTATTTCTTATTTTTGTTTTTCGTTTGTATTGTTTGTTGTTTCGAACTTTTATGGAATTGCAGTTCAGCCAAAAATAAACGAACCAAATAAAAATAAATTCAAAACAATTTCGAGCTCGATATGAGAGAAAGAATAAAATGTGGTTGGTGTCAATCCTCTTTGTTCGAACGATTTATTTACAATCTCTTTGTGAGGAATTTTTGATTTCACACTGAACCAGCAGCTTTCATCATCGAAATAAAGAAAATATTTCAGATGAAAGTACTCAAAGTACAAAAAAATAAATAAAATGCTTTGAATTTGAATAAGCAAAGTTTTCCATACACGAATGAGTAATTTCCAAATGTCGGGGTTCAAATCGATCAAAGCTCGTTTGGTGAAGGTTCAACTTCAAATATTTTTTTTGACTCGGGACTTACTTGGTTTCCTTTTTTTAGAAACATGTGAAAATGACACGCAAAACCATTTGCACACATATTCACTCCCAAATGATTTCGACCATTAAATAAACCGGATTCGCTGAATTTCTTCGAAAAGAAAATGTCTTCATTTAGAATTTATATTTGATTAATCTGAAAACTTTACTAAAAAAAACATGTTTTCGAATGATAATGTTTCGAGTAGTTGAAATTTTGATTTGAATATAATCGCTGTGTGAATTACTTTTATCGGTCGACCATGATAACGGAACACACATCATCACTAAATTTTTCGCCGTTGCTCAGCCGATTCGATATCTACAAATTAAAATAATAAGCACATATAAATGTGCTTCTAAAGCACACTAGAAATTTGACGCTTTGCCTCCAGAGAGAAAGAGAATAGAATTAAACACACCAATCAAATTGGCTGTTAATGAGCGTTGTCCATCGAATAGGCAATCACGTTCGAAATGCAATCACATTCTCACAATAAATAACCTTGTTGATTGGATGAAATTACACATTGATGTGTATGCTGTGTGGGGGAAAACACCTATTTTAGCTGACTCATTGCTAACTGAATAAATATTGAATTTATGAAGTCGATTGAAATGCTAGATAGAATCTATACTAAATTTGTTTATTACTATCTTGGCATTCAGTTGAGTGTGCATTATGCAAACATGTAAATCGATGCGATTCATTTGAATAGTTTGTTTACAAGTGCTTGTGTTTCTCTTTCGGTCGGTTCGAGTCCTTAAACCAAAACGAAATTGCCTCAACGAGATAATCCCTGAGGTATTTTACACACAGAAATCTCATTACATTACATTGGCTGAAACTCTGGCTCGTTGAACATTGATTGCTTTTTTTTAATGGCTGTTGCTCAACGTAAAATACACAGCGCATTTATCGCCTGAGACCCTTTTCTACTGAATTACACCTCCACACATACACACAGTTAACCGTATCATGGCAAAAACTGCTTTAAGCCGTTACACGCTTATATTTTTTTTTGTCAGCAATGAATTGCATTTTTGCGCATCGCCATTCGTTCGGTTCTGTCAATTGCATCAAATCGATAAATGAGTTAAAGGGCATATCTGAAGCTTATTGTTAATGGCGTGTATTAAAATTTCAGTTATAATGATTACATTGTTGACGGCACGACGCCAACCGTGCGCCATATAGTAAGTGTTGTCTATTATTTTGTTTTCATATCTCAGCAGAATAGAGCCGCATCGAATTCTACACGTTTTCGTCTTTGTTTTGGTGGTAAGAGTGGTCGACCTTGAATTCTAGTTTGCAACAGCTTGAACACGTGCTCGGATCTGTGTACTTTTTTCCTCGTCTCATTCCCATATACTACACTATATTTACGAATCGATTTGTTTCGACTGATTTTTTTTTTTTTGCTCTGTTGCATTGTTTTCAATCTAGCCAATTGAAACACATGTGTAAAACCAGGCATGTGTAATCCATAAGTCGGCGTCTAAGCTTTATGATAATTTGCGAAATATTTAACATTATCATTCTCGCGTTGTGGGCTTTCATTCGTCATAACAAGTTTTAGTCGTAATGCAAATGAATAGCATACATTTTCATAAATTGTTTTTAACCAATTTAACGGAATAAAAATGTCGAATTTAAATTTAATCTACAACAAAACTTGCTGTAGTCTTTGGAAATGGCACTTCATCACTTATCGTTCCGAATTTGGTCGCTGTTCTTATCAAATTAACAACCGTCTTTAGTGGAGTTTCCGCTCTTTCGCCATTCAATCATCAGC